CTGAAAATTTACCTTTAGACGGCAATTCTCTTTATATTAATTTGTCTATGGTTTTTATGCCCCTCACCCTTTCTCGCGGACTCTCTTTTCACTTTTCTTTCCTCCTTTTTCCTTCCATTTCCCCCCTTCTTCCTTGCTTTCACTGCCCAACCTTGTTTCCTTTTCCTTTTTTCCCCTTGTCCTTTCTTCCCTTTTTTTCCTTTTCCTTTTCCCCCTTTTTTTCCCTCTCTTCTTCTTTCGTTTTCTTTTTCGCCCCCCAAAGGCTGGCGCCCGTGTGCGCCGCACGCCCTGCACACGCCCTAAGTCCGGGCCTGTAGGTACGAAACATTTCGGGCAAGTTTTCATTTTAAAATTTAACAAAGCAATAATTTTAGGACTGATGACTCCCGACACTTTGATGGTAATTGGTTCGGGAATTTGATCGTGTATCGAGACCTTTGGAAAACGTAGAGGACCCAACTGGGGGGTGGGCCGCATAGGGGCAGCGGGAGCGGGGGCGCCCCAAATCTCATCAAAGCAACCAATCTTGTTCAAGCTGACAACGGCCTAGCGCATTGCGTGACACGACTCATGCGATCGAGAGTTGAAAGTAATGATGCACGCGTGAGAAGCTCATATAGGCCCTGAGTGCTTAAATGAGCTACGGGCTCAGAAGCTCACCAGTTTTCGGTCCTTGTATCCTTATTTATTCACAACTTGTGTTTTTTTATTGGATTTACGAGGAGCACTCGCAGAAGCGGACTGCCCTAGATTACCAACCCGAAATATCGGGGGCGATTCGAACATGACTATCGCCGCATGAAAATATGAATGTGCCCTTTACGGACTAATCCGACTCGGGAATATTCCTAGACTTCCGCGCCCTCCTTTACAAATTTCTATGCAAATTTTACCACCATATTAGCCCAATTCAATGACTCTCCAGAGATTCCACGGATTTGGCGGCCGGAGAAAGTACTAAAGTTAAGAAAGTTTTCCTTCGAAACATGAAAATTCCACCTCTTGTGCTCAACCAGACACGACGAAACTGAAAATTTGGCGCCCGCAGGAACTGAGGTCCGTTTTTATGTCAACAATCACGCAAAAAAAAAAAAAAAAAAAAAAAAAAAAAAAAAAAAAAAAAAACACCGAGGAAGACATTTTGCTGATTTTGCAACTTTTGAGATAGGTCTTGTAAATAATAACTTTTTTTTAAAAAAATTGGTATACATTTTTTTAAAATTACAAATCACCGTGAACTAGCAGAGACGCACTCCAGGCTGACATAATAAGCCAGGAGTACACCTGTGTTACAATACTGTTGGATTTCACTGAATGTCCGTGAACATTTGCCGGCTGTGACACATTCTCAAAGACCGTCTTGATCCTCCCTTGATCACGATGTTAACAATTTGGGGCCTGCCGAATTAAAGAGGCTATTTAAGGTGTAAATATCAACATGGAGATGTGTTGTGTGTGATTGAGATGTGTCATCAGATCGGCAGTACGCCTTCCCTCGTAGCAGCGTCATTCACATTTGTTTCTCCTGATAAGCAGATATACGAGCTATCGCGTCGAAAAAATTGCAGTCTCGGAAATTGAAGGGCGAGCGTCATTTTCATGCAAGGTTATGAGGATGATCATATGCGTGGAGTCTCTTGCGACCGTGCAGTTAGGGTGACGTTTATCTTGATTAGGAATCGTCAAAATGTTAACTACTTTAAGAAACGTTATTCCATTTTAATCCAACGTAGCTTCTTTTGGATATTTCCGCGGAAGATAATTTTTGAAACAACTATAACTCTTTTTTAATTAACTGGAATAAACTGAACACTTGTTCATTATTGACTGGGTGGTTCTTTTACAGGGTGTCTACTACAATTTCATTTCGGATTTTCCTGACATTATACCGATTTTTCCCAATATTTTATTTTTTTGCGCGAATAAATCGACACTCGTTTGATTTTACTGACCAACATATTTCATAAATTCATAAAAATCGGATTTTTCACTTTTGTATGTGCTAAAACTGCATGTACCTGATTGAAGAATGCTTGATTCTCTCGGAATTTCTTGTTCCATTACTAATTTCCCTGATATTTTCCTGGTTTTTTTCTGATGACATCTGTCCTGTTATTTTACAGACTTGCCGGTTTTTTTCTGGCGATAAAAATCCTGTTTTACTATGAATACGGTACTAGTTTTTAGCGAGAGATTGACAAAAAAAGTCCTTACATGCATTAAAGAACTCTCTCGGTTCGACTCCGGATGTCAGATTATTCGGAAGTGTTAGCGGATATGAAAGTCTCATCCAGAGTCTGAGCTCAAGAAATTGAATTTCAATTTTCTGGAATGCTTACGACTCAAGAGGAGAGAGAAGCCGGGGCGTAGATTGAGACAAGTGACCGATTTATGGAAGAGGAGAATGCTTTCGCCTTCGCGCTAGCTCAAAATGAAATAAATTCCATTTACCGAGTTTGTTAAACCGACGAGCACTTGTATTATCGGAGACGAGAGGGTAATTAGTAAAGCCCCATTTCTCTCCGTCTGTAGTACAGCTATGCCGAAATTCCCGATATGTGACCACATCCACAGGGAAAGGGGCTCTCGTACATAGAAACCCAAAACTATTTGTAGTACTCGGCACAAGAGCATGGAGAAATGTTCTCAAAGCATTTTCAGACAATGCTGCTAACCCTTAAGTGCCCAAGACTTTCTTTCATATTTTCGGCCATGTTGCTCACACATCCTGAAAGGGCAAGTAAGACAAACGGAACCAACACATTATCCATGGAAATAGAGCAAGGAAAAGGATGCGCGTTGATGACGGCGCAAAGATACAACTATTCGTGCCTGATGGATGTCCGTGTTGCATCTGCAAAATTGAAGGCGCGACGGCGTGATTTCGCAAAGCTCCGCTCTATGCTGCCAATGAGATGTCGCTCAGCCTCAGGAGGAATGTCAAAGAACGGGGCCCTACGTCTGTCTCTCCTATCTTGGGCTAAGTTAACACTCGGTTTTTTCCCTTCTTTTCAATTTGTTGTCCGACTAACTTATTATGATGCACGAGTATTTGTAGACCTTAAGCTCGTATGCGCTGGCCACATTCAACCCGTGGGGCACGTGTTTTTAGGCATCTAAGGGTTAACTTTGGTAGATAAAAAGAAGTAGTGCATGTGACTATAGATGCAGTGAAAGCCCGGATGAAAGTGAAATACACTAGACTTCAAAGCCATGTTCCCGCGATCGAAATTGGGACATCGATGCGATACTGTTGAGTATGAAAATGAAGAGGTGCCTCTATTATATGATCGACATCCGTCGCAAACAGAGAAGCAAATAAAGGCCTTTTGATATTGTGTTTGCAATTTATGTTGACCAAAACGTAACTGCGCCTCATAATAGGACTACATTTTGCAATTTGGAACTATAAATTCTAGCCCGGTTTAAAAACGACGTATGTGCCTTTAGTTTCCCTATGCACGTAAGTGTTTTTTCATAAGAGCCAGAATTTATAGTTCCAATTTGCAAAATGCAGCACAATTATGATGGACAACATTTGCAGTCGCACATGCATCCATCTCCCATTTTGATCGGCTCATTTTGATCCTAGAATCAAAGCTTAAAGAACTGGGCGCTTGAGAAGAAAATATAGCTAGATCTTTATACCGCTGGGAGTGAATCCACCACGAGTTCATTCAACTCCAAATGATTTTAACTGGACTTTGATTTGACTCGCTCTACATGGAACCAGTGGCGAGGCGTGAATGATCGATTATCCATGTATCCGGCCCATTTGAGGCTACAGTAAAGAATCAATTATTAACTTGTCCCTTGCCAACACCCTCCTGATCGACCCTTTTCCATAGCTTTAAATGACAGATCTATCTATATAATGCAAAGCACTCCACGCCACTCAATTGAACATATATGTATGGACTCTGTCATACGACCAAAATTTGACCCTCGCCAAAGAAAATTCCTGAAGAATATTCAAAATTTTCTACCTTGATCCATGATTCGCCATAATTCGTAACAATCATTTGAGATGGCTCTATATATAAAATATACAAATTGAGTTAAGTCTAACTTTGTGACCGCCTAGAGGAGGAGGAATCTTAGTGGACAATTGTAGGAGGACAATTGTTGTGCAATTCTTGAAAAAATTGGAATCTAAGGTAACGGCAGAAAAAATTCTCTGGTGTCTCAAATATCGAATGCTGAGGGGTTTTTGCTATTTTCTCTACCAACAGAGAGCGTAAATTTTAGCTGTGGGCCAATAGCTGGGAAATTAAAATCCTGAATACCGAGCCTTTTTTCGGATACGAGCTTTGTGAGCCGTCAAAACGCCGCAACTCCGACTTGCTTTGATATTTTTGAGCGTTATAACTTTTATTTGCTAACATTTTCCCGCTTCAATCATTTTTTTGCGCTTTCAAGCAGCAGAGCCAATACTCAAATTCTGTTAACTTCATGGCACTTGCAACCCAATCCCCCTGTTCGATCATAATTTTTCAATTTGTCCTGGCAATGGCATTCGTTGCTTTTAAATATCCTAAAGAAATTGGTACATGCATATTCTTCCATTTTTTGGATTGTATTGATAGAGGCATTTATTTCTTCACAATTTCATAAGGAAATTAATACATGGATACTTTTCCATTGACTGGGAGAAAGTTGAAAACCACCAAAATGTTGGAATTGGAGTCAATTGAAGTGCTGGCTGCAGAAATAGCATTTTATGGTTGCGGTGTTTCAAAATCTTCGCCAACATTTCATTCATTATGATTCAAGCAAATCTTTTTAATTCTTTGAAACTCTTACTCAATATTCTCTATGATTTTATAAAGCTATGAACGGTAAGTTTCAGAAAATTCGCACAACAGTTTCCTCTCTAAAATATAAATTACAACTGGAGATTCTGAAACACCGCAACCGAGAAATGCACTTTCTCTACTGGACGCCTCAAGTATTCACTTTGCTTAACTTCAAAAGGTAAACAATGGAGAAAAGAATCTCACCTGCAATATAAATTTTCGACTCGAGTTGAGACCCGCACGCACTATTTGAGAAAAGTTAAACTAAAATTTCGACACTCCAATACCACACTTTCTTTTAAAGTCGCTCAATTTTCAATTACTATATCCAACTGTACTTTATTCAGTAATTCCAAAAATCTTACTGAGCTAAATATGTATCATACGTGCAAAATGTTAAAATCGCATTAAAACTCGGAACGGAATTAAAATTCACAACCTACGAGTTTTGGAGCGACGATTTATTTCTATTCAAACACCGTTCCTTTGGGAGCCTAATATTTTTAATTACGTGTTGAAACAGACTGCGAACTATATAAAAAACATGTGTTGATTTTAATTTTTATTTAATGTTTTATTTGTTCGATATTTGATTTTCCTTATGCTGTCCACACGAGGTCAAGGACGAGAGACAGTCAAACTTGAAACATGGAATTGTTTAGACGGATGCCTCGTAGGATCCGAAGCAGGAGCATCGACAGTGGAATCCCAGGAAAATACGTGACGTGCGTATACGTGAGCGGAGCCAGGATCGGGAAATCGCGGAAGCACGTGACGAGTGACGAGTGACGTGGACGTCAAGAACCTCGACCAACACCTCTCCCGAGCGGAGTAAACGCGGAGACTGGTGCACTCTCAGCGAGGCGCTGCGCTGGTGGCCGGAACGCAAAGACGTCGCGCAGATTGCTCACACTCCAAAATGAAGGGGTCCGCGCAAGCTCCCAGTCCGTGCTGGGCTAATAATTCATTTCACCTCCGGGCGCGCCGCGCCGCGCCGCGGTCGGCTCCTTCCTCTCAACTTATGTTATTCCATCATGCATTTAGGGGGGGAGGGGGGGCAAGGTGCCATGGCACCGGGCGGCAAATTTTAGGGGGCAGTAAATTTCGGATTTTTTTTTTTTCATAGAAAAAGAAAGGAGAGAGAAAAAAATTAGGGAAAAACTTAGCACTGGGCTGCGGCGGGGCACTGACTTCCATTTTGAATTGATTCCATCTCCGGGTGAGTCATCTCAATTCTCTCTGAAAATCATGGGCAACTTCAAGGCGGCAAATTTGCCGCTAAATAAGAAATTATTTCTTGACTCTCTCCGCGAAATTACTCCGAGGAGGTGTTTGCATCTTGAGGATTGTCTACCCCGAGGTAGCTCGAGGTCGGTACAGGTACTCCAGCTAAATCCGGAATTCGAAGTATGGAAAATTGATCATTATGTCCGATTTTTTTGCTTAAATTAACTGATTATATAAATTCAAACACTTTATATAGAATGACTTTTTTCCATAAACTACACCATTTCTGAGAAAATCGATAATAACAATCGGCGTACCGACCTCCGTCATCAAAAAAGTCCAAGATGCCCGAAATGCAAACACCTCCTATTTTTTCTCTATGATGTCAATGGAATCCGACATCACTATGCAACTGGATTTCGAGGGCATAATGGAGAAGTTCGCGCATGCCAAAGCGAGAAAGAAAACTTTCTAGAGCTTTCAATGCCTCGGTGAACCTTTATGCCCCTCAAATTTTCTCTTTTTTCTCAACTAAATCAATCCGTAAGTTTTTCGAAAGCTTGAGTAAGTACATCGATGACCAAAGTGCGAAACCACGAATCTCCATTTGCGACGTTCCAGACTTCCTGTCATGCTTCATTCATTCTATGATAAAGTAGTCAACGTAATTTCTTGAATTTTTTTCCCTGAAAGCAGAATATTTTGTACGATTATGAATCTCAAGCTATAAAGTTTGCTTGTTTCTTTTAGGAAAAATAAAATAGAAGCGGAAATTCTATAAAACACCGCGACGGAAATACGAGATTTTGCACTTTAGCATCAACATTTAATTTAATTTTTTACTATGTTCAATTTTCGCCTTTTTCGTGCCTCAAATCCTTAGACCTTGAAGAATCATTTCCTTCTCATAAAATATTTGTTTGCAAAACTTTCCTGCATATAGATGCGCATTTTTCTGACTATCGGAGAATCGGATTTCTATTTTGCCGTGTTTTCGAAACTTACATTTCGTGCGCGTCGCGTGTTTCTACAAGATTACACAGTCCCCCCCCCCCCCCCCCCNCGCGCAAAAACCTGAATCCGGCTCTGCGATAGAGTATATCCATGGCCTAAGTGCAGAACCACGGATCACCAGTGCCTTCTTCCAAAAGTCTCATTACACTATTTTCTTCTCCTCCGAAGAGAATAAGGCCAACTTTGTAGATTGAGATTATTATGCAGAATGGTCGAAAAATCAAGATAGTTTTCAAGATAATAAAAATTGACTAGTTTTACGAAGAAAAAATGAAGTATGACAGGAGGTCTGCAATATCGCAGGTTGCAAAAGTCGATGCGTATTTTCGTACTTAAGTCATCAATATACAGGGTGTCCCAAACCAACCGTACCAGTCTTTTTTCTCAGTTGTTTTAAGTCCTCCGAAGTCAGGGCCCGCGGGGTTGAATACTTAAGGAATCCTGAATTCATGGTCCCGCCCCCCCTCCCCCAACTCCTTTGGGAGGTAAAGGGGGGGATCACGATCCAAAAGTCGGGGTTCCCGACTGAATTGCTAAACAATTGCTGTAGAATTGATAAGTACGGAAAATTGCGCTTAGATTTGCCTAAAAATCCGAAATCGGCCCGTACCCTAGGCCGAAGAATGACCCCCTACAGAAGGGAAAAGTACACTCCTCCATAACTTTTCTTTGCTTAAAAATTGATGTCCCTAGATTCTCCGGAAAAAGGGAGACACAGGATTCACAAATTCTAGGATTACAATAAATTCAAAAAAATTAGGCGTTAAAAATAAATTTTCCCAAATATTTTGTAGCTACTGCCAGAATAAGTAGCGACGGTTTCCGAATCGTAAAAAATAAAACGCAGATGGACTCGCAAACGGAAGCTGTCTGTCTTGCATAACATAGGAGTGCAAATGAGTGTTCATCTTTTTCTTTCTGAACAAACGCCAGGAATTTATGGTTAATCGCAACGCAATTGATAGCGCTGAGTTCAATTATGACCATAATTTCTCTCCAACACTTTTATGAAAACCTAGGGTTTCCCTAAAAACGGGCTGTTTCGAGGAACGAGGGGCCGAATTTTGTCGGCTTTTTCACACGGGAGTGCAACATCCATCGATGAGCTCAAACCGCACCTCCGGCCAATCAGAGGCGCTGAGCCGGACTTAAGTGCAGTCGAGGCCCGTCCTAAGTATATTTAAGTACGGTGGCAGCACCAACAAAATTCGGCCCCAGGCCCGGACAGGCCCTAAGGCCGACCTGCCACCAGCAGATACGCTCCCATGGTGCGCCGAGTATGCGCCCCTGTGACGGATAGCAAAATAAGAGGAGAAAAAAAATTACGACCAAACCTAACCTTAACTCATATCAAATTCCAAAAATAAGAGACATCTAAACGCGATACAACTTTTCATGCTAGACGGATGTCCATTTTACGCATGAAAAATTTATGGCACGATAGCGTGAGTCGTGGGGCGTGAATTCGAAATGGTCTGCTCTATGCTGTTAGTCAGATCCGAGAGAAAAGTTAAAAAACGAGGCCGGATCACGTTTTCCCTACCTTCGGCTGTGTTGCTCACGTAGCCCTTGAATCACCACTACAAGAGAGACAAACGAAACCAACACAATATGGAAATAGAGCAAGGAAATTTTAAAGGATGTGCGTTGACGACGGCGCAGAGATACGACTATTCGTGCTTGATGGATGTCCGTGTTGCATCTGCAAAATTGAAGGCGCAATGGCCCGAGGCGTAAACTCGCAATGATTCGGGAGAAAAGTTAAAAAAGAGGCCCGAATAGGTCTCTCCTGTCTTCGGCTGTATTGAAACACCGTTAGAAATTTTCTGAGATTCCGGAGTGATAATCACTTTTACTCCGCCCCTATTTTGCCCACGGAAAAATCGAGTGAAAATGAGAGTGAGTGACCCAACAGTAAAGAGCCACGACACCCCTGAACTCGGCGCGTGAAGCACCCCGAGTGCACGGTGCTACTCACTACGCAGAGGAGCGATTCCAGGAGAGGGGAGGGGTAGCTCGAGGAAGGGGCAATATGCTCCTACCGGGATTCACGCGATGCTACCGCGCAGGGTTGCAAACTTTCATATAATCACGCCGATAGCGCTATTTGTCAATTAATGACGGAACTACTTTCTACTACATACCTACCCAGTGCACGCTGTCAAATAGACATGGAAGTTCTTGCCATGAGCAATGAGCATTAGTCACAGGTTTCTGCAAGTTTATTACACTTGAAATTCGGATTACCTTAGTAATGACATCATTGACCACTTACCTTAGATCCTGCAACAATTTGTGGCGTAAAATTCCGAGCGCTCCCGTGAGAATTTGAACCCGCGCCGCGTTGGTGACAGTCCAGTGCTCTGCCACGGAGCCTCGGGAGTCGGATGGTTGATAAGGCTAAAATCACGCCTCTCATTCTCATGGGTAGCGTTTGTGCAGTAGTGCGCGCAATGACGCACTCTTCGGGGTGAAAATCACTCGAGATAAAAGTGGGGAGTTACCAACTGATTGATTCGCTGCAGTGATATCGTCTCGCTATCGCGGCAATTCACTTTCATGGAGAGTTCTGAACTCCTCGACAGAGTGATTTTCACTCCGCATTCCACTCCGGGTTTCCCGAAAGATTTTTAACAGTGTATGAGCCGTCAGACGTTGCCACATTTATTCCGTTAATAAAAACGAATTCATTGGGAAAATTGTGAATATTTTCTTCCAAATTTTTTGGACAATTTTGTTCGCTATTAAATCTAACACATCTGAAAATTTTAAGGAAAGACATGCGTAACATTCCTTAAGACTACATGTTTTATCCAGGGAAATTTGGCAACTCTTGAATGTCCATACCTACGGCGTTTTTCCTTAGTACGGCAGTATGTGCTTAGGGTTGAGGTTTGCTTGCAATAACGTAGTTCCTCTCATCTTAAATACGTCCACTATGAGCGATGGATGCGTCAAGTCCCATTCAAATATGAACAAACTTTTCGTACATCATTGCATCATATCTGATTTGGTAGGCTGCTCAGGTTTGAGCGCACGTATAGACGTAAAAAAACATACTGACTCCTATGCACGAAAATTTAAGTGGAAACAGGACTTAAATGGGAAGCCACATCCCAAGTAGCATAGCGTAATGAAACTATTGAAATAAAATTGCGATTTAGTGATATGAAATTGAAATTTTTTACTATGAAAAGGAGGAGTAACGTTTTGGGCCTTTTCCGGCCCCACCTGGATTTTGCTGAATGTTTCATATTTTCAAAGTACTAGTCTTAGGTAGACTCTGTGCCAAATATTAGACCGAACGGAGCCCATGCAAGGGCGCAGCAGCGCCTCAAACCCAAAATCCTGGAATCGAAAAACAATTATTTTCGTCGACTTTTTCGACTGTTATCACTCTTCCAGCACATGATTCTTATGTATTTTTTTGCGTACTTTTCGTTTCTGGCCTTTTTAAAGGCCTCCGATAAATTTTAAGGGGCCTTATGGCCCATTGTTGCCATTTTTGGCCCATTTTTAGGGGTTTTTTCCATTTAACACATTCAAAACTCAATTTAATCCAAAAACTGTGTACATTTTTGAAAAGTACGTAAAAAAATGAATAAAAAATGTTCAGTAAAATTT